AGCAGAGTCGCTTCGATCTTTCCTAGATAAGTCGGGAAAGAGGAAGGCGCAGATCGAAGCGACTCTGCTAGCAGGGTACCGATCAGTTGGTTGAAGATTTTATCTAGACTAGGGAAACAGCTACCCTAGGACAGAGGGGATATGGGGAGTTTACTCTAGTATGGGGTAGCAATATTCAGCTGAACTAGCTCTGGTATAGGTTAAGGGTTCTAGGGTCCCAGAGGCCCATCCCTTCCCAGAAATTCCTAAACTCTTTCCACATGTAAATGCTTTCTTTTGTTCCAATAAATTGGCATAGATGCTGGCCACGTGACTGAAAACGCTCTATAGTGATTTGGAAACGTTCCAGGCGCGGTGGCCCAGCTGTCTATTCACGAGTAAACTGAAATAACGGCGCTTCCTGCAGCTATCGAAGATGAAATAGCTAAATTTCTGACTATGACTGAACGGAAGAAAAGCAAGAATACGCAAATATATATTGTTCGATGGATATTATCTACTTCTTTGGGTATCTGCAAGAATAAACCTAGTGTGTTTATATCCTGAAACTGTTCCATGAAATAGGCCAAAGTTTAGACGACAGTCTACGAGGAGGTAAGCTTGTTAGAAATTCAAAAATATAACTTTGAATGAATAATATAACAATTATTGATCTCCGCTTTCGCATGATGTAAAGAATTACGCAGATCTCGGAGGATGCTATCCACCTCGGCCCTAAGCCTCGATCATGTCGGTGGATGACATCCTCCTCGATCAACAATCTTCACATCCTACCGAACCTCATTAAATAATTGCTAATTGTCATTATAATTACTATCATAGAAAGAGGACAAAGACACATTGGCTGTCTAGATTCGGCCAATAAAAAGATTCATTTCTTTGTTTTCTCACATTAAATGACTGTACTTGTTAATCCATCAAGGAATTTCAATGAAAATAATGTTTATTCATGAATTATGTCACTTTCGATTTTCTGTTAAGTAACCGACCCCAGGACATTTCAGTTTTATTGAAAAAAGGAGTAAACAGAACTTAAAAGTAGTATAGGAACTATGCATAGAAATTTCTGTTTTGTTTGTCCGCTTAACCTTATAATTCAATATGATATCCCCTGATGATATTAATTCAAATTTAATCATAACTATAACAAAATTCTCTAAATCCAATAGACTATCAATTGCCTTCATCTCAGCATTAATAGGACAGTACCCGTCTTGCCCCTTAATTGAAGGTTTTTGTTCTTACTTCTAGCGAAACCTTAAAAAAAAGCTGATCTTGTGTTTCAGTTTTAGGAAATATTAGGATTTCGCAAATTAAATTTGTTGCTTGGTAACTTTACTTTAAACTTGACACGAAGAGGATGCAATACGCAAACGTTTGTTTATCAAGCAAGAAACTGAACAAATGGAAGGATTTTACTTGTTTGCTATTTCCTAGTATTTTGGGGTACTTGCCATTAACACAGAGGGGGCGGGGATTATTAGAGAGGGGCATCTACTAGAAACTTGAAAGCGTAAGACCTTTATTTGAGAAGAGGTGTCTATTAGATCATTTAATCAGGGGCACCCAAAGACAATTTGCGGAAAATATCTGTTCGGAAGACGATTTCAGATCTAGAATTTTCGGAACATTTTTGGCCAAAATTTCTTGCTTGTCTGCCTCTCCTAGGATTTTCGAACATCTAAAAAATGGTATAACTGCCCATTTTTAACGGATTTTTATCCTAAAAAGGTCACCTACAATTTTCGGAAGCCTTTTTTCTGGCTAAAATTTTCGAAAAGGTAAGTTTTGATCCCTATAATTTTCGAATCACTAGACTTTCAGCTAGGAAATCCGAACAGATCAAAAATTTTTAGGGGATAAAAATATGCCTATATCTACCGTTTAAATACTAAAATACGTTTAACAATGCTATGTTTAAGTGGTTTTGAGCTATATTCTCGTTGGGTGCCCCTGTTTAATTACGGTACTCCCCTATAAATTATAATGACTCTGGCCGCCACAAAACTTTTCCGAATGCATGTTGGTGATAATTGAATAGCAATGGGAATGAGTGGAGCGATAAAGTTCCCCCTCTTCTTTTTTTGTCGAGCACTAAAGGGTCCTCATCAGGTGGCATGGTAGTAGATAAACAAAGTCGTTTAACTGCTAAATTCGACCAAATTTACATGTTAATAAATGGTAGAGATATAATCGTTTTTCAAGCCAGGCCGAAGCTCATCCCGTTTCCATGGCGAGAAGCTATAAGGAGAATTTGAACTCCCTCTGGAAGTGTGTTTTAGGACTGAAGAAATCCTTCGTTATCACGGAATGCGTTATCACGGAGATTTTGAGACTGAACGTGAGAATAGGCTTGTGTGGTCTCGAATTGCATTATGGAACTTCTTTGGGGACGCTATTACTTTTTTCATCATTTCAACCAGTTCGAGAATATAGTTTGACCAGTGGCTGGATAAGTGCTGTTTTACAACCCACTTTCTGCCTTAGTTAAAGGTCTTTCGAAACTCTTTTGGTTTTTTTTCCCCTTGAGGTGCAGGTCGTTTCCGCATACTTTCTGGTGCATAACTCGCATTTGATGCTACAGCACCACAAGAAATGACATCTGCAGTCGAATGTCTTGGAACGTTGCACGGTTACGGGTTTCAGCTCACACGACTGACATAGTGTTTTGCATCTGTTCGTTGTTACGTCTTCGCTGCTGCATGTTCTTCCCAGCATTCCTGGAGAACCAGTGATTTTGTTTGGTTTACAGTAGTCTGGGGATTCTTCGAGATATACAAGCTTTTTGTCCATTCTCGATGTTAATTTGCTCCTGACCTTCTCTTGAAGCTTATTGTCAACAAATACAACGCGTACCGCATTGCGGTATTTCAGCTTCAGTTTTGATGCGATGACGTCAAGGGGCGTCAGTTGCCTCCAGCAAGTTTTCAAATTGCAGCTTCCAGTGACGCCGTGACATTTGCATTCCCTTTTAAGACTTAAACGAACAACCTGTTATTGAAAGCAAAAAAAAACCTCGTGAAAAAAAAACAACGACAAAAAGATCACACTGGTTTTAACACTGATAATTTCCATCATGGGAGAGCACTTAGCTGTTCTGATATAGGCATATTCCATTTCCCACAAAACTCTCGAGAGTCTTCCATCTATACGCGATACTACCCTGTAATCAAACCACAACAAGTCGTTCCTACCCACCCACCCATTTAATTAATGTTGCTCTGTCCTAAGAACCAACAGTTTTGGGTAAATAAAAACAACCATGGAGGACTGTGGTGAGGAAGATTTACACAGGATGAGGTGAGAAAGTGAGCATTTTCATTTTCAGTTCAAGAAAAGTATACCTTCGAGAAGCCGAAGTTACGTTGTTTGTGTCTTTATATGTCCCTCACAAAGAATCGTAGCCTCCCACGCAGGCGTTTTTAGGGTTGCTCGTTTTTCATTTCTCCCCACAAACGCCCGCTCAACCGAAGACAGCATTCCTTTCCCTTTGACATTGTACTTTCCAAATTCTGGAAAGTTAACCTTGACCGCAAGGTATTCTGATAATGACTCGATCTGCATGAAACGCTGGGAAAGCTTTCTGACCTCTAATAAATGTTAGATTCATCACGGCAAAAATAAGATTTAGTCAAATTTTAGAATACTCCATGCATTGCATAACCTTAGCGAAGGAAAGATAAGAACGAAAACGGTAACTCTAGGGTCACGTCTTAGTCGAGTTTAGCCTGTCAACACTTCATTGCACAACTGTTGATTGGTCACTTACCACACAAATAAAACAGTGGGAAAGGAATGTTGTTTTCGGTTGAGCAGGCGTTTGTGGGGAGGAATAAAAAACGAGCTCCCCTAATAATGCCTGCGAGGGAGGCTAAAAGAATCGCCCCATGCAAAGGAATCGAAGACAGTTTTGGTTTCTGGATTCCATGTTGTGGATTCCGGATTCCAGGTAATTGATTTCAGATTCCAATCCTTGGTGGGATTCCGAATTCCTGGAGCTGTATTCCGGATCCCAAAGCCCAGGATTCCAAATTCCACAAGTAAAAATTTCATGGATTCCGGATACCACAAGGAAGAATTTCCCGGATTCTGTGCTTTTGAAAAGTACTGAACGACGGATTGAATCCATCCCCCGGAAAACAGTTGAAAGGTTTACAAATTTGGAAGATTTTTCTGATAATAGTACAGTTGGCGTCACTTCTGCTGATAATCTACAAAAAAGGGACAGACGGCGGGTTGGTCGCTCAGCCTTTTTAATTTGTCAGATTGGAGAAAATGAAGGAAGATTTAACCCGCTATGTAAAGACGAAATAGCTAAACTATTACCTAAAAAAAGCGAAAAGAAGAGTTGCAAAAATACCGCTTAATGGATAAAAACCACTATTTGACGAATATCTCCTAGAAACAAAATTTTTCCCATGTCCCGGTACTACCGAGGAACAAATGTTATGACTGGTTAGAATAGTTAAACAATTACTAGATGACAAATGTACCTTTCTTCCAACTTCATTGTTGTGCAAGTTAAAAGCTGTTCTGGCGTCAATTCCAGTTTCAAGTCTGTTGATAAAATGCCTGGTCTCCTTTTCACCGAACCTTATGTTATCACTGCATCCGCCCCACTGCCAGTCGCCATTGCCTTCCCGCTGCTTTTTAACGTCCGCGCAGCCACATCCAGGTATTTTGTTTAGTCTACACTGAGTTATGATCTCGTAGATGATGGCCGCGGTGCTAATGGCGTGAATAAAAGCTGTCTCTTTATTAGCTGTTAGAGAACAATAAAAAAGGTTAGAAACTGCCAAATATATCTGGAGATAATGTCCAGGAGTTAGCAACTAATACCTGTTGGCAGATTAATGGTAACACATGTTTTTCGAATAATTTACTGAGAAAGAGTTTGTAATTGGAGCAGAGTTTTTGGCTCCAATGAAAATATTGTTTTCAGCCCGACTAAGGAGAAGTACACGAACTAACTAGCAAAATAGCCCATTTTTCGAGTTCGCTATGACCGCTGAATTAAAGAAGTGAAGACGCATTTTTTACAGCCTTAGCCTCAATCTGAAGTAATATATTCACAAATTCCAACGAGAAAAAGACGCGTTTATTACTCTGTCTATCAGTATTGTGTATATTCGAATTTCAGACACTTACTTGCCAGAATTCCTGAATATTTTACTTTACGTCGAGGCTAACCCTGTATGAATGTGTCGTTAATGTTTATATTCAGTGGTAATTTTTTAATTCGCGAAACTGGACTATTGCGATGATTAACAAACAATATGATGCAGATATAAACAATATGATGCAGATATGACGGGGAATCAGGCAACAAGGCACTACAGGCTTGTGCATGCAATTTATATTGCCGGGGTTCCGCCTTATCATAACGAAGCAATCAGTGTATATCCTTTTGTGAAATAGCTAAGATGGTACGCGCGTTCTTATTGGCCGAGAGACGCGCTTTCATCGGAGTATGTAAACACAGTTGTGACATCACGATCTTTCGCTGTGTGCGCGCCATAATGGTACCGACTTCGTCGAGTTTGCATAACTGTCTCGAATTCTCCCAATCCGTATCGTGTTTAATTTAATGCGATGACGTCAAGGGGCGTCAGTTGCCTCCAGCAAGTTTTCAAATTGCAGCTTCCAGTGACGCCGTGACATTTGCATTCCCTTTTAAGACTTAAACGAACAACCTGTTATTGAAAGCAAAAAAAAACCTTGTGAAAAAAAAAAACAACGACAAAAAGATCACACTGGTTTTAACACCGATAATTTCCATCATGGGAGAGCACTTAGCTGTTCTGATATAGGCATATTCCACTTCCCACAAAACTCTCGAGAGTCTTCCATCTATACGCGATACTACCCTGTAATCAAACCACAACAAAGTCGTCCCTACCCTCCCACCCCTTAAATGTTGCTCTGTCCTAAGAACCAACAGTTTTGGGTAAATAAAAACAACCATGGAGGACTGTGGTGAGGATGATTTACACAGGATGAGGTGAGAAAGTGAGCATTTTCGTTTTCAGTTCAAGAAATGTATAACTTCGAGAAGCCGAAGTTACGTTGTTTGTGTCTTTATATTTCCCTCACAAAGAATCGTAGCCTCCCACGCAGGCGTTTTTAGGGGAGCTCGTTTTTCATCCCTCCCCACAAACGCCCGCTCAACCGAAGACAGCATTCCTTTCCCTTTCACATTGTACTTTCCAAATTCTGCAAAGTTAACCTTGACCTCAAGGTAATCTGATAATGACTCGATCTGCATGAAACACTGGGAAAGCTTTTTGACCTCTAATAAATGTTAGATTCAGAGCGGCAAAAATAAGATTTAGTCATATTTTAGAATACTCCATGCACTGCATAACCTTAGCGAAGGAAAGAAAAGAGCGAAAATGGTAACTCTAGGGTCACGTTTTAGTCGAGTTTAGCCTGTCAACACTTCATTGCACTACTATTGATTGGTCGCTTACCACGCAAATAAAACAGTGGGAAAGGAATGTTGTTTTCGGTTGAGCAGGCGTTTGTGGGGAGGGATGAAAAACGAGCTCCCCTAAAAACGCCTGCGAGGGGTAAAAGAATCGCCCCATGCAAAGGAATCCAAGACAGTTTTGGATTCTGGATTCCATATTGTGGATTCCGGATTTTAATCATTAGTGAGATTCCGAATTCCTGGAGCTGTATTCCGGATCCCAAAGCCCAGGATTCCAAATTCCACAAGTAAAAATTTCATGGATTCCGGATACCACAAGCAAGAATTTCCCGGATTCTCGAATCTGCATTCCCTAACATAAGGCGACAAAGAAACTATTAGGTTTTGTGCTTTTGAAAAGTACTGAAAGACACATTGAATCCATCCCCCGAAAAACACTTCAAGGTTTACAAATTTGGAAGATTTTTCTGATAATAGTACAGTTGGCGTCACTTCTGCTGATAATCTACAAAAAAGGGACAGACGGCGGGTTGGTCGCTCAGCTTTTTTAATTTGTCACGAAATAAATAAAAAAGGCGACAAGAAGAATTGCAAAAATACCGCTTAATGGATAAAAACTACTATTTGATGAATATCTCCTAGAAACAAAATTTTTCCCATATCCTGGAACTACCGAGGAACAAATGTTATGACTGGTTCGAATCAGGGGCGGATCCAGGATTTTTTTTAGGAGGGGGTGCACTCGTCTCTTGCTCTACTTCAACACCAAAAAACCACATAGTTTTTTTTTTTTGCAGAATACCAGTTGTATTAGAAAACCGCAGGTCATCCCAGGAGGGGGAGGGTGCGCACCCCCTGCACCCTCGCCCTAGATCCGCCCCTGCGAATAGTTAAACAATTACTAGATGACAAATGTACCTTTCTTCCAACTTCATTGTTGTGTAAGTTAAAAGCTGTTCTGGCGTCATTTCCGGTTTCAAGTCTGTTGATAAAATGCCTGGTCTCCTTTTCACCGAACCTTATGTTATCACTGCATCCGCCCCACTGCCAGTCGCCATTGCCTTCCCGCTGCTTTTTAACGTCCGCGCAGCCACATCCAGGTATTTTGTTTAGTCTACACTGAGTTATGATCTCGTAGATGATGGCCGCGGTGCTAATGGCGTGAATAAAAGCTGTCTCTTTATTAGCTGTTAGAGAACAATAAAAAAGGTTAGAAACTGCCAAATATATCTGGAGATAATGTCCAGGAGTTAGCAACTAATACCTGTTGGCAGATTAATGGTAACACATGTTTTTCGAATAATTTACTGAGAAAGAGTTTGTAATTGGAGCAGAGTTTTTGGCTCCAATGAAAATATTGTTTTCAGCCCGACTAAGGAGAAGTACACGAACTAACTAGCAAAATAGCCCATTTTTCGAGTTCGCTATGACCGCTGAATTAAAGAAGTGAAGACGCATTTTTTACAGCCTTAGCCTCAATCTGAAGTAATATATTCACAAATTCCAACGAGAAAAAGACGCGTTTATTACTCTGTCTATCAGTATTGTGTATATTCGAATTTCAGACACTTACTTGCCAGAATTCCTGAATATTTTACTTTACGTCGAGGCTAACCCTGTATGAATGTGTCGTTAATGTTTATATTCAGTGGTAATTTTTTAATTCGCGAAACTGGACTATTGCGATGATTAACAAACAATATGATGCAGATATAAACAATATGATGCAGATATGACGGGGAATCAGGCAACAAGGCACTACAGGCTTGTGCATGCAATTTATATTGCCGGGGTTCCGCCTTATCATAACGAAGCAATCAGTGTATATCCTTTTGTGAAATAGCTAAGATGGTACGCGCGTTCTTATTGGCCGAGAGACGCGCTTTCATCGGAGTATGTAAACACAGTTGTGACATCACGATCTTTCGCTGTGTGCGCGCCATAATGGTACCGACTTCGTCGAGTTTGCATAACTGTCTCGAATTCTCCCAATCCGTATCGTGTTTAATTTATACCAGGCTATATGCAAACATGGAAAATGTTTTTTATTGCTTAAATGATTATCCAGTAATAAATTGTTTCTCAGTGAAAACAATCATATCGTGTCCTATCAAGACGACTTGAAAGCGACACATAAAACTTTTCTTAGGCAGCAAAATTCGTGGAGAAAAGGGAAAAGTTATGAAAAAAAAGGCAATGAAAAGTATTTTGAAGTACTTTAATAACCCTTACCATAAGGTAACGTTGTTTTAACAAAAATGGGGAGCTCTTTATACACTGGCTTGTTCTCGTCTAGTGTACAGTTCCAAATCTCATTTTTGAACTGCCTTTGACATTCTTGCAATCCACGATGGCCTCCCGCCTTAACAATATTCCATAACAGTGGATATGCCTAAATAAGATTAAAGTTAAATAAAATCGGCCTTACATTCCTTTCAATACTAAAAGAAGTTGTCTTTTAAACATAACATGTCGTGACAGTAATGTGTTTTATAAACAGTTTGTGCAGTAAGGGTTTCACTGAAAGGACTGTTAATGTTAAACCCTCAATATCTGGAGGTGCACGATACAACCCCTTCCCCCCCGAAGGGTGACGGGGGCTTAGGGGGCCTAGTTAATAAAATCCTCTTTGAAATTATTACTCACTGCATTGCTTCAAACTGCACTTATACCCGACTTCATCTGAACACTTTCACACATCCATCAAGCAATCACGCATAATAACTGACAAATTTCAATTTGCATTATGCCAAAGACAAAGAAACAAAATGTTGCCATGCTAACGATCAAAGCGTAGAATTACGTCCACAGAAAAAGTTAGAACAACCTCGCAGGCCTCCATCATTCTCTCTGGGAAACAGAGGCTGCCCCATATATGGTATCAAGTTTAAGCAGGGGTACAAATTAACTGCCCTGTACGCGCAAAGAAATGTGTGTTAAGTATTTGTAAAATGACCGATCTAATCCTAAGCCTGATCCCAATCTTTTTAAAGCGCATATCTTCGTACCGGATTATGCTGAGCGAACAATACGTATCTTTGTTCTAAGCAAGTGCAAGTACGAGAGGGTGTCGACGTTTACCAGGGTGGTAGTTTTGCCCCGTTTGTGGGATCAAAAATTCTTATCCGTTTCCTAATTTCTGTTTCTCTACTTGTTCTTAACTAATAAGGATGCAACCAATAATCCTTCAAATACAAAACCTTTGAGTTGAAAGTTTAATTTTTCCTGCGGCTATCTATATTTTAGGTGTCGGTAAAGATATGCATTTAAGTATTCCTGGAAAAATTAAGAGTAAAAAATAATAATAATAATGACGCAGCGCTTCCGGATATCTTGCATTAGACCAGTTTATCTCAAGCGTGTGGGAGATTAATATGAATTAGAATTACTAGAGTAACTAACATTTTTTAATACCTTTTGTTGGAGTATGCTGTGGTCTACCTCACTTTGCCCTCTAAACAGATGAAAGACAAAAAGCAGAGTTAAATAAGGCAACATCAGATGCAGTTATGACTCTTATTTGACAACTTTTAGATAAAGCGTAAATTATATTCATTGTTTAAGAATATTTTAAAAATATTGAGTCATAATTTTTAAATCTGCTTTCGAAAAGGGTAAGGGACTAATGTTGCTTTCAGAAACAATTGGTTCTCGGAACTTTGTAGTCAAGTGTGTAAACTAATACTTAATTTTATGGAAATGATTTTTATTTTTTGGGGCATCAAAGACTACAATGCAACTGCATATTAAATTATCGATATCAACAAGATGAATAACAAACGGTTTTCGTATCACGATGGTGACTGTGGCTGAACCTAATATGCCACTTGAATACGATCTGTCCTTACTTGAACACTTGATTAAACGCGTAAGGTAAGTTTTATACTGAATTCAGTCGAGAAACAAAAAAACACGAACAACGAATCATTCATGCTTTTTCTACTAATCAACTATAAGGCTCTTCTCTAGCACGACCTTTAAAGTCAGACTTGACTTTAACACGATCAAAAAGAATTAAAATAGTGGCAAAACGAGGTTGTACCAAACACTTAAAAACGGCAAAATCTGGTAGATTATTTTATGGATTGTTCATAGATTGTCAAATTTAAACCGTTGTAGTTCTAGTGTTTTGCTTAATATTTATCTCAGATTCGCTGCGCGGCATACCCTTTGCCCGAAAGAATGATTAAAAAAAGGCAGTATTCAATCTACCAATATGAAAATAAATAATTTAAAACACGAGAGCTCAAGTGCTTACCCAGTGGTTGAATCAAATTCAACGGAGCCAATAATTGTTATAAGGAACAAAGCGTGTAACTTCATGTTCCAACTTCGGCGGATCGGCGGCAGTTGTGAAGTAGCAGATTTTAGCTTCCCGATGTGTGTTTCAGGTAATGGGATAGCACCAAGATCTATTGGGATAAGTAGAAAATAATACCATTTAGTAACATGCCAACTAATTTGTTCTAGTTAAGCTTGTGGTAGAGCCTGATAGAGAACCAAAAAAAAAGAAAATCATCATTAGCGAAAGCTAATCTAAAGAACAGAGATTAACATAGGGAGTGCCTAAAACCACCCTTAGCTAAAAATGTAAAGCATTGATCCAAAAATTCGGCGGCAGGGGAGGGGGGGGGTGTGCTCTACCCAATATGTGGGTATAGGTGATTGAGCCGCTGAGGGTTTGAAATCTTGACTGTGTTTGGGACAAAAAGCAACCTAAAGCTACATACCCCGCTGCGGACAACACCCTCAGTTTTATCGCCTTAAGACAAAGGCCGAAATGATCGTCTTTTTGGCAATTGAAATGGAGCAAACTTTACCGCATAGCAGTCATTGTTTTTGTATACTTGAAGTACAAACAAAATTTCATGAAGCAAATCAAAACGTTCGTACACTCTCATTTAACACCTCGTTTATTATTACCCCACGTTAAGGACAGACTTACCCTGTTTATGATATAGGACAAAACCGTACCCTCTACAGTGGCACCATCCCCAACCCCCCCTCCCCCTCCCCCCTCTCAACCGGGTTAAAAATATTTGCAATTTGTTAGCACCTAAAGAGGGTTGATAATTAATTGCATCTGTTCGGGTCGGCTAGCTTTTGGAAGTCACTGAACAGATTCCTTTGAAGATCAACACCCATTATTCAGTTTGTTACCCTAAATAATTTAACAGCAAAGCCAGTTGTGAATTCCGAAGATCTGTGACCTAGGTGTACGGGTTACTGCAAGTCTGTTCCAAAGTTTAGTTTAGCATTTCACAAAAGCGCAAACTTCTTGTCAATTTGCATTTAAAGACAGTTCCATTCTTGTGTTTATTAGGATCATCAGCCATGGCAGCCTATTTTAAATTAAGGTTATCTTCACCCCTAAGGAAAAGCTATGTTGTATAGCAAGCTAAGCTTCCTACATATGATAAGCTGCGGAATCTGCACCATTTTGTCGTCAGTCAAGCAATAGTACTTGAACTAGAGGTAATCATTGATTACGGATCCGCGCGTTTGTCACTTACGGAAAAATTACGGAAACGAAATCGGGTCGAAAGGAGTCCAGTTTCCGGGCCGAGGTGCCCCTGATAAAATTAAAAAGGGCGGCTAATTTGCAGTCGCGAAAATTTCCGCCTTTGTGTCACAGGAACACCAGATTAGGACCCCTCTAAGAGGCTTGTCGCCTTCGGCCACTAAGGACTTCTCCCCCAAATGATAAATCCTAGATAGAACCCTGGTTTGTTCTGTTATTCGATTCGTTGTCAACCAGGCCACATGACAAGTACTTTTGAGTGTTTCAAAGGAATTGGCAAAGCAAAATGAGACATTGTCAATACCCTTTACGATTAGAACTACTAAAGCAAAGGCTAATCTTAATATAAAGACATTGTATCGTAAAGGTGTCTCGATTTGAAAAGTACGGGCTAAATGCTTTAAAAACGTTTGTAGATTTCATACAAATTGTTGCATAAAGTAAATTTTCGTCAGCGTTCTCTTCAGAAGCTGGTTGCTATAAAATTAGAAAAACTGGAGGGAAAGAAACATTTGTTAGAAAATCTGGTAGCCCATGGACTTGACAATAACTTTGGTTATGACGTCACCATTTAAGGGTGGCGGTCGCAACCTCGTTCCCAAAGTCCTCTCTCTAGCTTGCTTCGAGAAAGAACCCTGGCTGGTTTCAGCCGGTCATGTGACTACCTTACTCCTCATCAGGGTAGGGTTAATATAAGTTAGTTTTCTTTGTTTTGCTCATACGGAACTAGAGGCAACAATCTGTTTTCCCGGACATGATATCTGTTTTGGAAAGCCATAGAGAAGCGCGATTTGTTGACAATTGTTCTTTCGGAACAATGTTTTGTAAGGATCGCTCTAAAAAGTTTGAATTTAGTGAATTCGACCGGTTTTATTTTCAACCTGTCTCGTATTGTGTGAACAAGAAGGTACTCACCTGACACACACACATAGTTCACTTTACAAAGTCGTATTTTAATGACCAATAATACAAATATTACTCTTCATTGTGCTTTCAATTAGTGCTTTTATCGTCAGCGTGTACACAGATGAAACAGTAAGCTTAAGCTTTTCTAACAGTCTTGTCCACGTATGACAGAACTTCCGTTCGTGAATGGAAATGACCTCTGTAAGCCTGATATATATATTTTTTTAAAATGATGCGTGCTTTAGCTCGACGCGACCATTTGTATATAAATTGAAGCATGGTGTACCCAATGAAAAAAAAAAAGAAAAAACAAAAACAGCACACGGACAAAATAGAGACTCTGCTGTTGACACAGTCGTTTTTCATGGAGCTAGAGACTTATTCACCTGTTCAGAAGTTAAATAAAAGAGATAATCCTAATTAATGTCAAAGAAAAACAGCTTAGAACGTACAACGACCATGAAAAGTCAAGTTGAGAAATATCGATTCATGGGCAAAAAGTTTGTTTTCTTTTAATAATTACAAGATATTTTGAAGCAATGGATAGAAAATAGGACAGAAAAAGAAATTGATGATAACGACGGATTTTTACGTTTCTACATTGTGGCTTGCGTGTTCTTGAAGTTAAGTCTTTTCGTGATTCGTGATCCTAATCCACTGTAGATGAAATTAATTCTATATTTTTGTTTGTATTTAATTATTCTTCATTAAACTTAGGTAAATTTCTTGAACCTGATTAAACCTTTTTGAATGTGTTAAGGTCGTTAGATTTCCATTTGTCTGTCAGATAATCGAAGCTAATCGACAAGGTTGGTGGTAGAAGGGCAGATTCTCTAAAACTCCCATCTGATCTGAATGTTCTTTTAATTAGCTGACTGTCAGTTTCGGGTATAAAGTGCGGACTACGGAAACGTATTGCTTACGCGATTTCCGCTTTAAAGGTATAACAAATTTAAAAGAATAAATCTAATTATGACAAGTGGTAAAAGAATGCTGAAAGATGAAAACACTTTTAGACGGATGTCACCTGTGCCACGCTTACGAGCCTTTCAATCAATTCACGTTCTTGTTCCACAGAGATGTCTCCCAGTCACGTGACATTACCGACGTTAGTCGCTAATCATTTGTCAGGACTGGCCGGCTAGATGTAAAGAGAATTCCAATACTTATCGGAACTATCCAGTTCCTAAATAGCCACACGGCTATGATGAAAATGCTATCTTCAAAATGACATTTCCGGGCGGCCATTTCTAATTTTCGCCCAGTGCTCAGGAATGTGCTTCGTCCTGTAACCTTACAAGTATATACTTATGCTAAAAGCAAGCTAAAACTTGTTGGTCTCAGAATATTAACCGTATAACAGTGCCAAATATCAGACCGCCAAAAATTGGAAACTGATATATAGTCAAATGAAATTTTTTTGTCAAATTTGAAAAGCTTACAGGAAACTGAAGCGCAATAAGCTTTGCAATTGGGCCCACTTCGAGGGATTTTGTCAACAAAAACATCGTGAATTAACGTAAGGAAGGAAAGATTATGGTGAAAAGCTAGATTGCCACGTGAGGCTTGTTTTGACATTCACTGTAAGCATTATAATGTTGGTTGAGACGGAATAGAATATATTTGGTAAAATGTGTGATAAAGCTTAGTTTCTTGATTAGAATAAAATTAGTGCTTTCAACGATAGTTCAAAGTTAATTAGAACACTTAACTTTTTTGATCCTCGGGAAAATTCTAAGTATGATGCCAGCCTTAGTTGCATAAGGAAATAAGGAATTTTGGTTAAAAATCTTCTACACCATTTTGATCTATTTTTCCTCGTGATGGTTTTTTTTTCGGACGAACTTCCTTTTATTTAAACATTTCAAAACGCGCGCACAACCACGTGAAAGATACTTGCAAACCTCAGATTTCGATACATGTTGTTGCAAGTATTTTACCATAGAAAAATTTCTGCTTAATGCCAGCCTCAAATCGAATGGATATTAGATACCACTAATAGATTATCTTAAGTAATTAGCGGATTTTTTATCCTTAAAGACACGAACACAAAAAATTATGGGAAAAAAATCGCAACTGATGGAGGGACTATTGGGCTAATTGCCATTTAAGAGTTGTTTAAAGGTTGCCTAACCGGGTCATCGGAAGGATTCACTTCAGCTATTGTACAGTAAAATCCCCTAATAGTGAAAGGTTTCGATTTCTAGAAGAGGGTACAGCCTTTCATGCCTGTACAGGTAAAACCCGATCGATCGATAATATTTATACTTTTCTTCAAGATGTAACGATAGAACTCACTTAGTGGGATCAACCCGCCAGTTCCCCGTATTCGTCCACCTGGCCATACCGGCTTTTAAAAAAGGGATTTTAACTACCGTAAGAAAAACGGTTTCAGAAGAGTATTTTCGAGTGGAATCAAACCTTCAATTTGAAGTATTAACTGTTTCAATTTTAGGTTCAAAGGAACGAACGATTATTTATAGCTGTATTGTACCGTGATTACATACGTGTCAAGTACTTCGTGGCCATGGAGAAAGGATTGTCTTTAATAATAGAGCTAAAATGCCGGAAACTCTGTATATAATTTCATTTTAAGAGAGAGCTCTTTATACTACAGTTTTATCAATTAAGACCAAACAAATTCCTGATGTAGTAATTAAAGTACTTTAAGTTAAGTTTTACCTGTTTGACATAAATGTCGTCCACTCACTCTTATTCACTCAGTGGTGTATCTAGATATGCACCACAGTGGAACCTCGACTAAAACGAAACTCTATATAATGACGTCCACGGTATAGCGAACGATTTTCTTTACACCAGTCTGATAGTAAGATAAATGAAAAAGAACCTCGTGTATAGCGAACAAACTTTGTCAGTTCCATGGCCCTTCGTTATATCAAGGTTCCACTCTGCAATATTATAATTATGACCTTTACAAGTTATCTCTGGCCCTCTCTCGCTGTGCCTATGCTTATTACATTATCGCTTGCCTATAATCTTTAAAAAGTATTATTCACATAGTCGATTAACTTTAGAAACAACTTTAAGCTGTTCTTAGTGGAGCACAAAACTGAATAGTGGCTTGCTAGGTACTTCGATTATTTGCGCCCTCGACTCCCACTACTGACAATCGTTTACCCGTTCTCAAGTTGTATAGCAAAAACAGCAAAATGAACGCTCTTGGCGGTATTTTCAATTTTCTCAAATCTTGTTCGGGCATAACATATGAACATTTTCGGTTTCGATCGTTAACTTTACCTTGTGCTTGTTCCTGCAGCCAAAATCTCCTCTTGAGTTTGAAATAATCTGCTATTGTGGTTTTGTCCACTTTCTTCAAGTTCTCCCGTGAGTATCGTAGAACTTCAGGACAACAAGTTTTGCAACATTAATTATTCTTACAGAAATGTGAATGAGTCTGCAAAATAACACCGTTAATCCTGCTGTTAGCGAGGCTATGAAGGTCTCTGGGAAATGTCACTGTGATACGCTATCGCTTGAAAACCTGAGTATGAAGACACAACTCTTACCACCGAGACTTCATATAGCTGTAGTTACGTATCAAAAAATAAATTCGCGAAAGTCATTGGTTGAAAACAATCTTATTATCGGTTTGACTATCCCCTTACACGACACGTGTTCCTGTATAAACAAAGATAATCACTCCAGTACATCCGAAAAAATAAACATGAACCGGAGTCAAATCGGACACCCATGTTTTAAAAGAGTTAAATAAATGTTCAGAAAAGAGCTATGTTAACTTTATTTTCGTCCACTTTGTTGTTACGCATAGTTCGTTTAGTGAAAATAACGGCATTTAAGGAAACTTAAGCAAAAGCTTCTACATTATAATTCTTTTCGTTAAAGTATTTTTTTTTT